ACAAAAACAGAACAATAATCACTCTACTGATGAGGTGGTATCTTCAACTCACAGCAAGTTTTTAATTATCCACTTCCAATTGAAGAAGTATGGCTCTATTGTCTTCCATAGAAAGTAACCTTTTCCTGTCCATGCACTGAACTATCACTATGCAACTCTCTTCTAATCGAAAAGCTGGGTGGTCTCTCTATGCAACACTGAGCTCAATATGAATTCAGTTTCTCAGGTAATAATGTTACGTAGCTTTTGAGTCACTGCTGACACAGAGGTTGCAGGTTTTTCTGAGGGGAAAAAAAGGGGTTTCAAAGCAGAACACCTATGTTGTCTAAGTGAGATCAGACTTTGGAATTTTGTTTTCAAACGAAAAGTGGACAATTTTTAAATTATAAGACTTGACGTAGGGAAGAGGGAAGACTTTTAAATCCTGCTGACTTTAAAAGGCAGTTAAAAATAATAAAATTATCAGTGGAACACTGAAATACTGTGTTATGAATGTTAGACTTTAAGCATTGTTCATTACTAGTATCTGTGCTATTAACCCCCAACAGTTGAAACTTATGAGTAAATTGGGACTTGACTGTCTCTGTTTTGCAGGGGATCTATGCAGAATATATACATTTTCAACTGCAGTGTTGCAACAGTATACAGTATATATTTTTGTTTTGGGTACAATAATTTCTCTTATAAATGTCAATCAGATCTTAATTGGAAGGGATCATGGTCTAAGCACGTGAAGGCACATAGTAATTCCAATGAAGTCTAGGTAAAATAGACTTGTTGACGTGTAATGTGTTTTAAGACTGCTTTTTTTTTTTTCTTCTTTTTTCCCAGTCATCTCCTTGTTGTTTGCTAATATGGGTCATTTCTAAGTGACTTTCTGTTCACGTAAAGGTGTGGATTCAGTGGAATGCATTTGTTAGTAACCCAGAAGAGAATTCAGTAGGGGCAAGCAGTACTCAAGAATTCAAGTGTACAACTTTCCATAAATACATTGAGATGTTTTGTAAACATATACAAAGGAGGCATTACCGTGCTTTCATTATTTTCATTGTTTTTCCAATGTAGGTATTACAATCCTGGGGCTGTACAGAATAGGTGGTGTAAACTCCAAGGTGCAAAAGCTGATGAATACCATATTTTGTAAGTATCTGAAGTGACACTTTGTCAGTTTCAGTGTGTGCGCTGCAGTCCCTTTTGCCTTAACTGCTGTGCTCAGAAGAGTGTGACACTTACTGCCTCTAAATTGAGTTTGCTTTCTTAAAATGAATGACCCGTCTAACTAGTTTCTTGTGTGCACTAGTACTCAATTTCTGCATGTTATCATTGATATACATGAACAAACTACTAAGAAAATGCAGTCCTCTGTTAGTTTTAAAGTTCTATTTGTTGGTATGTATTTGGTGTATCTCGGAAGCATTCCAAAGCTTAGTACTGTGACATAGCATAGCTCAGTTTAGTAGACAGTTGTTCCAGTCTTTCACTTTTCTTGCTAATTGGGCTCTTTAATGCCTGTGTTTTAATGTCTAAGCTAAATGCATTAGTAATTCTGTTGGCTTCGGCTTGCTTAACACTTTGATATAATGCATATAGTTAGCTTACAGATGCTAAATGAGTCCTGAATGCATTTTTGTTAATACTTTGACAGAGATTAAAAGATTGAAATTGTTCAGGTTGGTAGTTAATCCAGCTACTAAGTAATTACATGAGCTAAATGACTATTAGCTTCTGTTTTGTTGCTTTCCTAGTTAGTATATTAGTCAAACTATAACACAATCACAATTCAAATTTCTACCAGCCCCTAAATCTCCTCCTGATATGGATATTGATATGGAACTTTGGGACAATAAAACAATAACAAGTGGACTAAAAAACTACCTCAGGTAAGTGTAAAGCTACACAAATCTCAGTATTATTTTTCTGGCCCATTGATCTTTTGCTTATTAGTACCATATTACATTTCTTGTATCCATTAGCATAGTAATAATTGAGTGTATTATTATCTTGCCTAATATCCCTGTGATTGCACATAATAATAAATCTTAAAATTTGTCACACT